TCTACTTCAGAGTTGAAGGAACTGATATTTAAATAACTCATCTGGGGTTATGGACTCCCTTATGGATCCATGGTCTCTAAATTTACTTTTTTTTCCTTCAAGCAAAATCTCTCATTCCTAGAATTTCAAACATTACAGATTGGTCCTGTCCCTTCTTAACTTTCATACTATTGCCCTTTCTTTGCCCAGAGAAGTTACTGTGTGTGTGTGTGTGTGTGTGTGTGTGTGTGTGTGTGTATGTTTGTTTTACTGAGGATTGAACCCAGGACCAGGGCTAGGATATATGCTCAGCAAGTGCTCTACCATTGTGCTATATTTCTAACACCCACCGCATTTTAAAAAATGTTGAGACAGGGCCTCTCTAAGTTGCTTATGCTGGCCTCAAACTTGCAATCCTCCTGACATAGCCTTCCAAGTAGCTGCGATTACAGGTGTGTGCATCTGTGCCCAGTTTACTTAAATGTTTTAACATGTGAAAATTCAAATAGCTGGAAGGAATAACTCCCTGGAATTTAAATCAAGATGTCCTATTATAGGATTGGAAACATTTGGTCTTATTGATATTTTCTTCTCATATTCATAGATGTTCTTTTTGTCTTTTAAGAAATTTTTGGTACAACAAAACATCAGCTTTTAAATAATAGCCTAAAGGTTATTCAAGAGCAAATAACAAAATACTGTTTCTATAAAATAAGTAAGGATAAATTAATTAATTCTATGTTAATTGTACCTTCCATGTTATAGTACTAAAATATAATATAGCTATTCTATAAGTTTCTGAGATATAGGGGATTCTAATAAATAATTCTGAGAAAGAAATTTGACTCCTTAAGGACCAAGTCCCCAGTCAAAGGGAGGAGAGGCAAGTATGAGAGGGAGCAGCTTTGTTCAGTGGTAGGAAGTATTGGCTATAGAGGTGGGGTGCAGGTAATGGAGTGGTAGCAGCTTAGGAAGTCCTGGCTTCAGCCTGGTCAACTAACTAACTTTGTTCCTTCATTTTATTAATAAACATTACTTCTTTTCTGCTTTGCAATTCTTCATACCTACAGAACTAAGAAACATTAATGGTACAGAGCAAATGGTTTTTGTTTTTGTTTTTCGTTTAAAAAAAAATACTTCTTAACAAGTGGGACATTGCTTGATTTCAGCAGGTGGGTGACATCCATACAGGAAATGATCTCTCATTCTCTTTTTTTTTCATGCTTGGGGATTTGAACCCAGGGCCTCATGTATGCCAGGCAAGCACTTTACCACTGAGCCACATCCCCAGCCCTCTCATTCTCTTTTTATATTTTAATTTTTTTTTTTTTTGAGACAGAGTCTCATTATATTGTCCAAGCTTGCCTTGAACTCCTCAGTTTCAAGTGATCTTCCTGCCAGGTAGCTGGGACTATAGTTGTGGGTCATTGTCTCTACCCGCCTCTTATTATTTTATTCAGTAAAACCAGCATTTCTCTAAGATCTTGTTTTAAAAAGGAGGAGGGGGACTTCTCTTAAAAATTCAGGCAGGTGCATGCCTATAATTGCAGTAGCTTGGGAGGCTGAAGCAGGAGGATCGAGAATTCAAAGCAGCCTCAGCAACTTACTGAGACACTAAGCAACTCAGTGAGATCCTGTCTCAAAATGTTAAAAAGGGCTGGGGATGTGTGGCTCAGTGGTTAAGTGTCTCTGGATTCATGCCCTGGGACAAAAAAAAAAAAAAAAAAAAAAAAAAAAATTAGGAAAGTATGGTTTTGCATGAATATAAAATGTCAAAATTGGAATTATAGTGAGCTATACTTTGAAAAGTGGCTTACTCGGATTCATTTCTGGCATTGTCTTTCAGCTAACGTGATCTTATTATTTGAATATTATATTAATTTGGAGGAAAATAATATAGAACATCTTAACAATGTTTTCTTTGTGTTTGTTATTTTTATTTTAATTTCAATATTAAAAGTAAAACAAATTTATTAAGTTCTGTGAACAATTCCCAAGGCTCCTACCATTTTCAGATCCTTATTATTGTGCAAACCAAGGTTTAAAAATATGCAAATATTGGTACATAAATGAGAATACATATAACATGTGTAGGATGTAAAGCTTAATCACAAAGACCCTAGAATCCCAAACCAGTCTTAAAACCTAGAATATTACCAATTCATTGAAGCTGTGTGTCCCTATTCCTCAAGTTCATCCCTCTTTGCTAAATATTAACTGCTATTCTGAATTTTATAATTTGGGTTCTCTCTCTCATGCTTTTAAAATCATATCACATACACATACATTTAAAAGTGATCTGCTATTTAGTTTTTTTAAAAAATATTTTTTCTTTATATATGACAGTGGAATACATTACAGTTCTTATTATACATATGAGCACAATTTTTCGTATCTCTGGTAGTATACAAAATATATCCACACCAATTCGTGTCTTCATACATGTACTTTGGATAATAATACAATATTTTTAATCCATGATTATAGTTACATAACTTTTTTGAAAACCAGACTTCAGCAGAGAAAATCACTTTGTGAACTTTCAATATTATTGGTATATTAATTTTATTAAGATCTTTGACTGTTAGGATAAACTAAGTAAATTTTTGGAAGGTGGACAGAATTGGAAAACAAATTTTATGTACAGAAATCATAAATGGTAAAAAGAGATATAAATATCCTTACTGTTTTTCTATTCTAGATATTTGAATGGTGGTATTTTCGCAAATACGGAACATCGTTCATTGAACAAGTCTCAGTAAGCCACTTGCGCCCCCTTCTGGGAGGGGTTGACAACAACTCCTCCAACAATTCTAACTCCAGCAATGGGGACTCAGATTCCAACAGGCAGAGTGTCTCAGGTATGGACAACTTATTACAAGATTATTATGAATATGAGATACCAAGAATCTGTTGAGGGTTAAGCTTCAGGAAAATATGAAGTTAATTTTCTGAAGGATTTGACAAATCTCTATCAGAAAAGTAGGGTGTAAGCATTCTAGGGAAAGGAAATGTGTATGTTGTTAATTTTACTTTTTCTCCCATTTATTTTAGCTAGTGGTCATTTATTTCAGTGTACTCAACCAGAGACCAACATCATTACTGGTAGTTTCTCAAACTTTAGTGAATGGATACATTTTCTTTTATGACAATTTGTCTAACTAGATCTGATTACTCATTTGCTTAAAAGCCTTGGTTCCCATTTCATTGAATGTAAACTCCTGTCCCTGATTCCTTAGCACACACAGCACAAGCTGCTTTAATCTATCTTGCCAACTTTGGTACCTGTCACAGTCCATGCCCTTTCTCATGTGTCTACCTTGAAGCCACTTCATTTTTTGTACACACCATGTTTCCCATGATCCTGTGCCTAGAATGTTTTTTTCCTGGGTTGGTTCACCCATCACTGTCTATCAGCTGTCACACCTCCTATGAAGCTTTATCTGCTAGGTGTACACTTTCTACTTTTATTCATCCTTCATATTTTTTCCTTTAGTAGCACTTGTCAGACTGCATTGTAATTTTTAAGATGTTCTAATATCTTTAGCATTTGCACAGCATCTATTATATCTTCGCACTTCAATGAGAAGATAAGAGGATCTGTGCTTTCTCTGCTTGTAAAACAAGAGGGAAGAATACAACTCTGAACTGAGTCTCTTCATTGACTCTGTAAACATTTCCTAAGTACTTTGTAAGAACCTTTCTTTGTATTGGCTCTTTCGAATACTATGAAAAGTCAGTCCTTGTCCCAGTGGAACACTCTGCCTATTGAAGAAAACAAAGCCATAAGTGCTCTGATTGTAAGAGGGAAGCATACAGTGCTGTAGAAGACAAGGAGGCCCCGGACCAAACTGGGAGAAGGAGATTGCTTCTTGAAGGCAAAGACACCAATTCTGAGACCTGAAGGATAAAGAAGTTGAAGAGTTAGACTAGATTTTTTTTTTCATTCTCTGTTCAACAGCTCAATCCACATTTCATAACTGTCTAGCCATTGAGGAACATTGTACATATATTTTGTTGCCGATGTTGATTCAATACTCTTTTTAATAGACACTTTGAATGGTGGTATTTTGACACCTGAGAGGTACTAGGAAGCTTTCGGTACACATTATTTCATTCCAAAGGATACATGTGTGGGCGTTGGCACCACCCAGGTAACAAAATTCTTTGGGACTTTGTAAACTCATCTACTTTGTGAAAGAAAGGGAAAGAGACCTGAGCAAAGTAAACTATTACTTTAACAGCTGCTCTAATAAATGTGGCTTGTTTTTCTAATGAGGAATCTAGATCTTTCAGTCATAATCATCATAAGCAGTTGTGGATAATCACTACCACTGTTCATCTGCTGTGAATGCCCCACGGATTAAAGGTGCTGTTGTCTGACTCAAGTTACTGTACACTTTGAGTGACACAGAACATTGCAGAAAATTATCACATTGTAAAAGAAAACATCCTTATTTAAGGCATTCTTTATAGTGAATACATTTGTGAATACATTTATATTTTCATTTAAGTCCTTCCTTTCTCTTTAGCCAGTTTAAATCTTTAGATATTCCTTAATGTAATAAAGAGTTCATACTCTTCTTGTTACCACTATAATTTCACTCTCTTTCTTAGTGGATGCCTTGATTAAACTTATTCATTATGTTAATCTCAGTGCTATTCTTCATAAAGGAGAACCTAAGCCCTTTTGAAAAATATATTCAGCCAGGCGCCTGTATTCCCAAGTCATTGGGAAGATCATTATTGGTACCTATGAATTCTAGACCACTGAGCAGCCCAGTCTCAAAAATAAAACAAAAAGATTTAAAAAAATGTATTCAATAATAACTGTGGGAATTCTCAGTTTTATTTGTATCTAGTCTGTATCTGGCAAGAATGAACTTTTGATTATTACTCAATTACATTATTATTTATTGAGTGCCTACAATTCATTTCATATTTCCATTAATTTCCTGTATAATAGAGTATTGGTGATCTGATTTTATAATGATATTTAAATAATTACTTTCAAAAAATGAGAATTTCCTTGTCTAAGTATGTTTTGGGCTCAGTCTTCCCACCTCTTGATGTTTGGGTTACTAATATTTGTCTAATACTATCTAACATTTGTCTAACAAAGTTAACATTTATTAATGCGTTCCTTTGCTTTATTTAGTTTAGAAGTAAACTGCTCTTTTTCTTTCAAATGTATAGTCTCTGATAAACCCTGCTGATACATCTTTCTATCATACCATGTTTCTCATTGCCTTTTCTTAATTCAGTGCTGTTTATGAGCTGATGATGCATAGGGATTTAAAATGTGGACGACTGCTCTGTCTGAAGGGAAGGGATTCTTGCAGCATAATAACATTATGAATTGAGATTTATGTAGGCATCTATTTGATAATTTACCTTTTTCTCAAATAAGTTGCCATGAAGACAAAGATCTGCAGCATTCACCTTCTTCCAGATGCTGGGAAAAAGTACAAGGTGCTCTAGCACTTAAGCATCCTTGCCAAAGTCAAGTTTAAATCCTCAGAAATACTTTAGTAGCATTTTGGAAAGAATTGGATCTTAGGACAAACTGTGATATAGTCATTTGGCTTCCTATCGCAAATTATCTCATTTTAATCTTACTTAATTTTCATAAGATAGATATTTTAAATTCTAAATATTCTAATGATTCTGAATTCTAAATAATTCTAATCCACATAAATATGTATATTCTGAATTTTAAATTCATTATATCACTAGAGGCAGTTCCAGCACTGATATAATAAAGGTAATAAATCAAAGCAATGGATATGAAGAAACTTCTATATAGAGAAAAAATACATATTAAGCTCTTCATAGATATGTATTTTTTTTTCTCTCCATAGAAGTTTCTTCATTAAGTTCTTCATAGATCCTAAACTGTCATAACAACAGAATGAACGATTTTTCTCCCTAGGAAGCCATATAGTTCCAATAATAACCAACACTCTTGGTACCTGCTATCAGCTTTACATGATATTATTTCACTTAATCCTTACAACAACCCCATTAAGCAGGTTCTGTAATTATCTCCATTTTTTGCTTCGGGAAGCTGAAATCATGGGCCCAAAGTCACATGACTTATATCCTGGACAGTCTTTCTTCAGAATCCAGGTTCTTAAACTGAAAAATTTAAGTAACCCTCTCCACACCCTCCTGGGTATAAAAGTGAGGTTTAATGTAACTATTAAGCAAGTAAAATCATGTTATTAAAGCCCTGTACTATAATGCATGACATTATTTCTGAAATGACATGGACCTAATGTTTAAAAAAAAATTTTTTTTTAGTTGTAGATGGACAAAATACCTCTTGTTTGTTTGTTTATTTATTCATTCATGGTGCTGAGGGGCTAACCTAGTGCCTCTTACATTCTATGTAAACACTCTAGCACTGAGCTATAACCCCAGCCTGGACCTGACTTATCTTTAAAAAGAGCTCAGTGGCCAATGGTTGGCAGCATAGCCTCTGAGGTCATACAGATGTGGCCCTAATCCTGGCTCCATCACTTTCACAGTGAGTGATCTTGGTCATGTCATTTAACATATCTAAGCCTGAGTATCTCAATATGGAAACATGGGAATAAATAATATCTACATCACAAATGTAGTTTGAAAATAAAATGAAGCCCATGCAGAAGTATCAAGTCAGAGGACAGCTGTTTGGCAGTGTCTCCTGGATGAACTGAGTTCTCTGTGAACGTGATGAAGGAAAATGCCACAAGCACATGAGGATGTATCTGCGGGGTCAGCTGGGCTTATTTGCTAGCTCAGTCACTCTTTTACATCCATGTATTTGAATCTTGCATTTCAAATATTTCCCTCTGCAAAATTGCAAATTGCCATGTGTCAATGACCTTTGGGATTGTTCTTTAGTAATCTCAATGAAGACAAACTCAATTTGTACTAGACAAAATTTATCACATTTGTTGAAAATAATTGTCTTTGCCAATGCTGATTAAAGCTTTCCAAAATCTTTGCCAATAAAATTTATGTTTTATTATAGATTAGATTTTTAGCTAAGTGGTAAAGATCCTAAATAGTTTTAGCTGCTGGCAAATTTTTATTTAATGAACTTATTTCACAATTTCCACATTATTAGAGTGGATTGACTTAGGTCAGAAATGATCAGTGAGAAATATATGACAGATAAAATTAAAGATTTAACCATCTTGGTAATATTCTTGAAGAAAGTAATATGCTATCTTGAATAAAGTAGGTCAATAAAAATGGGCTCAAAATTTGTATTTACTTACACCCTTGCTTATTTCATTAAAGAATTTGAAATAGTAACATATTTTGTTGAATTGAAAGCTATCTATATGTTACTTTGTGCCTTTAGTTCTAATCATTTTTTCAAAATGATTATTTTGAAATGTGAAATATTTAAAACAATTTTTTTAAAAAAATGAAGACTTTTGCTCTTAAGGATTTCTTATAATTGATCTGTATGATACAAAGGATTGGGTATTCATGTCTGAGGTACTAGAAGCTAATGAATACAGGCATAATCACATGCCATAAATTAACTTGGGTTAATTTGAGGATTGGAGTACATCCAATGATATTGTACTTTAGAACTAAAATGCTTAACAGTATTATTGAAGTGACTAACATTTGCCCAGAGGAGTTTTCAAAACTATTCCTCTAATGGAAAATTTAATTAGGAAGTCACAGGATTTTCAAATATGGTGTTTCAGGTTGACAGTTTTATTGCTTATCATAGGTAAAAGTTGAGGAGTCTGGACATCAGGCATTTTCAACTTATTTGCTGTGGACCTTGGGGATACTATCTGGCTTTTCAGTATTTACTTTTGTAAAAGGGGTCTAACATATGCCTCTTACTAATTTGGGTAAAGGGTAAACATGACTTGTAATTTTAAGCCCTTTTGTAGAAAGGATCAACACAATTAAGCTTATAACTCTAACAAAAATTACTACTACTGCTGTTTATAATATTGTCAGATTTGAGATTTGGGGGAAAAAAGTGGTCAGTTTTTATTATAAGAAATCTTTCTTTAGTCCCACTCATGGAGTCCCCTTCTCCTCTTTTCCTCTTTATTTTGCTCTTGTTTCTACAGATGAGAAAAAAACATTTGACTCTTGACTATCTGGGTCTGGCCTATTTCACTTGGATGATGTTCACCAGGTCCATCCACTTACCAGCAAATGCCAAAATTTCATTCTTTTTCATGGCTGAGTGAAACTCCATTGTGTATAGATACCATATTTTCTTTATCCATTCAGTGGAGTAGCTGAAGGGGATTGAGGGCAAGGGAGGAGGTACAGGAAGAAGGAGGAACTGCAGAATGAAATTGAGCAAATTATGTTATGTATGTATATGGGTATACCACAGTTAATTTCATTTTATGTGTGTCTATAAAATACCAATTTAAAAAAAAAATAAATAGAAGGAAGAGCAATGGAATAGAGGAAGGGAAATGGAGGAGGGAGGAGAGGAAGTAAGAGGAGTACTTGGGACTGAAATGAAGCAAATTATATTCCATGATTTTCAAAATGAATCTCACTATTATGTATAACTATAATGAACTAAAAAAGATATTAAAAAAGGAAATCTTCCTATGCTAGAATTAGTATTTTATGTGTTTTAAAGCTGAAGGAATGGGAGTTCTCTATCATTTATTTTTATTTTAGAAAATGTTTCAGAGTTAAGTTGGACATAGAAAATTAGTTTTTTTCCATGTGATTAAAAGTCCTATGACTTTGAGCCTTTTGTCTTTTTTGAGAATTGATTTCCTCTTTTTCTTGAGGACAATGACAAAGAGGAAAGTCTGTTGTTCTTTCAGAAAACTTAGTGCTTTATAGAGCTTCTTTTGGTGGGATGCCAGGTAGTGGCTCAGTACCCTTTGTACTTTCCTGCCCAGGCTAGATGCAGATACAGTCATAAGCTGTATCTGCATTTTTTTTAAATACTGGGGATTTACCCCAGGGAGTGCTCTACCATTGAGCTACACCCCAAGCCTTTTCTTATTTTTTATTTTGGAACAGGGTAACACTTAGCTGCTGAGGCTGGCCTCAACTTGTCCCCCTCCTGCCTCAGCCTCACTTCCTAGGATTACAGTCGGGCACCACCACACCTGGCTATATCTGTTTTTGCAAGTCAGGGCCTAGTGCAAGTGTTAATGCATAAAGAATAAGAAAGTATGAAGTAAGTATGATTGAAGTGAAAAGTTTTAGTAGGAATTAACCCTGCTAAGTAAGTCTTTTCCTGCAAGCTTGCTTTTAGAAGTCCTTAATCATACTAAGAATTATTTTTAGATGTTCTTTCTCTCCCACCCCAAAACTTATATGTGTCCTACTTTGAGAAAGGAATGAATCTGCTCTGTAGACATTGGAAACTAAACAGGTGCTATTTCAATGCTTGCTCGTTTATCTCTCTTGAATTGTATTCTTGCATGCATATTGTGGTCACACATTTCTGCCAACAGTTGTGGGTAGAGATTGTACTATGGACGTTGCAGATGGAACTGTGGAAAGCATGTTTTTGTGTCAGGGGCTTATTTATAACTAAACTATTAATGACATTAGTAAGCCCTTGTTGGGGTCCCAACCAACATTTATTGCTTTCCAAGGGCACTGAAAATGTGCATGTTAATGGAAAATTGGAGAATGTAAAATTTCTTTTGGAGGTAAAATTCTAAATCTGATTTTACATAAGGAATTCATTTCTCAAAGTACATATAAGATAAGAAACAGGACCTCATGTGGAAAAACTCTTCCTGTTTGGAGATCTGAGTTTAATTTCTTCTCTTAAATCTTCATACTTTAATATGTTTGGCATTTACACCCTTCGTCTGTATCACTAAACCACATCAGACAGCTTTATATTTATGTGGCATGTTCCCTAGACTGATTCCAGACTAAGAGCTTTTGTAATAAAGATAAGATGATGGAACAGAACAACAAAGAAGATGCACTGGTCTAATTTAAAGCAAAACTTTGATCTATGTTCATATATGACCTCTAGATTGCTTGTTTCTTAAAAGAAAGTAACCTGTCCTGCATCTTCAATTTAAAGGTTTTAATTTGTGAAGATATTTCTTATGTACTACATTATGTATATTTTCTTAACATTGAACAGAGTATATCTGTTTCAGCTATTTATATCTTCATTTCTAAGTTTCAGGGACAGTTAAAAAACTGCATACAGGATACACATGACACCAATGTCAACAAGGATTTTTTAAAGTTCAGTTCTCTAACAAGAAGTCATGAAAGCAGTATTTCATAATGTTTGCTGCACCCCCTGCTGGCCACACAATGGTACTTCCTAAATAAAAATAATGTCTACATGCTGCTCAGTGAACACTTTAAATACACACACACACACACACACGCACACGCACACACACACACACACAGAGTTTATCTTTAGAATTATTTTTGTTTAGAAATACTTTACATTTAATCTGATATATAATAGATTTGAAACTTTAATTGAAGATAATTTTCTTTCTAATTTGCCAAATATTGTTTGAACAGTGTTTATCCTTCTAGGCTGTATAATAATGTATTTGTTTGCCATAGTCCATTTTACTGATATTTCAATGAAATTCAATAGGGAGGAATCATCTTCCCACATATCCCTATTTTTCTATTGTGAGCATCCTTGTACATACATCCCTGGGTATGTTTACCATATGCTGACCACAAACTTAAAATACTTGTGAGGCTTTGAGATGAGCAATTTGAATCATGAAAGAGTTTTTCTGAGGAAAGGTTGGCAGTGGTGAGGTCCAAAGAGTTACAGCAGCCAGAAGGACAGAGATCATGTTGTTTGGCTCACCAGTGTGTCTCTAGCCATGATCTGGAGTCAGTGTGTTCATGACCCCTTTGTGAGACTGTATGTTTGAAGAAAAAATAAGTATTTAAGGGAAACATAATTTTCTATTTAGTGCCACATAAACTGACAGCCAACAAATCTCAGTTTTTCAAGAGCAAAATTCAGAGATACTGCACCAAGTGAGGAAATATAATTTCCTAAATGGCAGGTTAGTCTAAATGATAAAAAATTTAGGGTCATTACTTAAAAACATTAAGCAAATTTAAAGTGGGATCCTGCCTGATTTAAAGGTAAATGCATCTTCTTTAAATGAAAGCACATGTTTCTGTTATGTGTATACCCTTCATTCGCTATTTTAAAAAATATTTATTGAGATGATACTGCTTTATGCCCTGTCATTATCACACTGTATTGTAGTTGATGTTTTACTCAATAACCCCTTGGTGCTCACATCAATGTCCATGGGATAGATGAAAGGTCAATGTTGGATGTGAAGGACTGAGGATAGAACTCTAAGTAATCACCATGTGGTCTTTAATGTTCTTTAGATTTCTGCAGTAATTTTGTGTGCATATGTCTTTGGGTGTGTTTTTCATTAATTTTCACACACAGAGACACACAGACACACAGATATTTTTATTTTCTAATAAACCATATTCATCCAAAGAAATATATTATTATGGATCAATAGAAAGTCTTAATCACAGGGTGTTTTAAAAAATTGGAGCTTAGTAGTCACACACTTACTGTCTTGAAGCTCCTGATTGATTTTCTAAGTCAAAGCCCTGTAGTTATAAGTTTCTGTGGTCCTTGACCAAGAGGTGCAATCTCTTAGTAGCTAACAACAAAGATATTACAGTTATGATTAGCATGTGTATCTGAGTAAGTAAATGATATTAAAATGCTTTAAAATGATTTCTTTTTACAGCATTTTCCCTAAAATAGTCATAATTTCATTAATTTTCTTACTTTCCAGGAAGGCAAAGCAAACTGGTGAATTGTCATGAAATCTCAATTAGGAGTTTAAAGCTCTGTGTATTATATTTTAGAGCTGACATTTAGTTTGTAATGTGTGATGTTATTGTGAGACATATTTTAGAACAAGAGAAAGGCATGTTACTTCTTCCTGTACTTTTAGCTTATAATTTTAGAAATAATTTCATAGAATCTGTTTAGGTTTCTCAAAATAACTATAGAAATTATGAACTAGATGATTTTGTCATGTACTTTCATTTGGCAAATGAGGAAGTTTGGACCCAGAAAGATTAGGTGAAACTTGCCTAAGCCACATTTTCTGATTAACCTGTCAGAATTTTTCTACATAGCTTCCCTGTAAAGGATAGAAAATAAAATTATCTTATCAAATGACCAGGAAGGGTGTTTTGTCAAGTTAATTAGCTTGTAATGTCACTGAACTTATGTGTAACATTTTCATATTTCTCTTTGTTTCAGAATGCAAAGTATGGAGAAATCCACTAAATTTATTTAGGGGTGCTGAATATAATCGGTAAGCATTTTGACAGCTTGGGAAACAAATGAGTCTGGTTCAGAGAGGAAAGACAGCAGCAAATGTTTTTACTGGTTCATTTAGGGGTCATGTTACAGTGTTTAGTGCTTCCATTTTTTAAAAAAATATTAAAATGTTTTGATTTTTATGTTTCATAATTAGGTTAGCACAGGATTTGAGATGATGTACAAAAATGTATTGTTTTGTATATTTTCTACTACAGTCATTCATTTCAGTATTATACTATACAATCAAAACATTTTTAAGCTTACCTGGAACATGGGTATAAAGATACCAGACAGGTTATGTTGGAATTTAATTTAGTGAAGTAAATTAGTCAAATCAGAATTTTCGTAGCTTTGGGGAAATGTCTATTCATAATACTAATTAGGGAAGGTTTTCAATAGCAAGGACTAGTAAAATTTTGAGGCAAAAATAGAGAGGGAAATGTTTGCTTCTTTTCTGCTATATAATTCCTGAAGGAAGAACAAGATGATTTAAATTGTTTTTAAAAATTTTTCATTAGCAAAGCCATTTTAATTTAAATCATAACAAGTTAATGGTTTATATTTCAACTCCTCTGCAGCTTACTATTTTATAGGTCTTGCTTTCTTCCCTCAGAACTGTCTGGCTATCTTCCTTCCTCTTTACAGGTACACCTGGGTAACAGGACGAGAGCCTCTGACTTACTATGACATGAATCTTTCTGCGCAAGACCATCAGACGTTCTTTACTTGTGACTCGGACCATCTGCGTCCTGCAGATGCAAGTATGGAAAATTCTTCAGATAGTCACTGGGAGGGAGGGTTTTTCAGCTTGTTTAAGAACCATAGTTTCTGCTTTTAGAATATCTGCTCTATAAAAGCCCAATAAATAAAATATTAAATTGCTGATTGACAGTAGAACCTAGAATTCTAATGCTTAAAGCTTTATCTACAATGAAGTATCAATGTAGAAATGAGGCTTATTATAATTTAGAACATGATTTTTAAAAAATATATCAAAGTTGGATGGATAAATTTTGAAAACATGTAAATCTTACCTGAAGCTAATAAAATTCATGGTTGAGATGGAATGGTCATATTGCCTTGATGATATTCTAACTAGAAGTTGGGATTCATGGAATCTAAATGATTAATGAATACATTTTAGTAACTTAAATGCCTATTTAAGTCCCCTAATTTTGAGTGGGGATGTGGCCTTGCCTACTAGAGTCTGTATGTGTTCTCCTTCCTAGAGAGACTTGGTTAAGCATGTATTTTACACTGCTTAAGTTACAAATAATCCTGCTGATATAATTTGTATTGCTAAGCTTAGTCAAAGTAAATAGGTGAACAAGAGCTTCTTAAACAGAAAGTTCTATATGTCCTTAAAAAAACTGACTTATAGAATACAAATTTATCAAACAAATTAAGGAAGGAGATGATTATTCTTTGTTTTTTAGTTACTCTTTGCCATGGTGGAACATCATAGTATAAAGGTTACCAAACATTAAGCTTCTTACAATATAGTCACATACTGCTTTGACATATAGAAACTAGATTTGCAGACAAAATTGAGGAATAAATACACATGTTAAGCAAAAGCCTAATGCACTTCTTACTGACCCAACTCCTAATTCTTCAAATGGTTTCAGAATGTTCTAATATCTAGATCCTGTAGCAAGTATGTAGGAAAATGACAGATAGAAGTTATTTTGCATCTAAGTAGAATGAAGAAATGAGTAGCAATGGACATTTTAAAATATGTAAAATCATATGTATTCTCTTAACAAGAAATTATATTAATATGCAAAAGAAATAAAATCTGTTAGGATGCCTTTTCTTGATTTTTTCAGTCTATAAGATTTAGTTTTACAGTTATATGAGCACACAAAAAAAGTTCAGTATCAGCAATGAAATAGAAAATTAGAATATATTTGTGTGACTTTGTAAATTTGGGCTGACCCTATTGGTAATGAAAGTCTCTTGTAACTTTAAGCTGAAAGCTATTAATTTTTATGTTGTTCTGCATTGAATCTTCCTAATTATATGTACTGGTTGACTTGCTTTTTTCCTCTTTCTTTAACATAGTAATGCAGAAAGCCTGGAGAGAGAGAAACCCCCAAGCTAGGATTTCTGCAGCCCATGAAGCCTTGGAGATAAATGAGTAAGTGGAGGGAAAATCTTGCTGTTAAAGAGGAACTTTCATCTTTTGCTTAATATATTTGGTTCCCATTGATGGGATGCTTCCATTAAACTATGTATGACATTGGAGGATTATTTGGGGGATATTATTTTATAAAGTTTTCTTTTTATGAAGGATAGCCATGTGGAGGTGGTTTTAGTCATTTTAGAGAGCAGTGTAGTAGCTTTGTTTTAGGACCCTGAATCAAATCCTTTTAGGGATGTTGTGACCAGATAAAATAAATACAGTTCTTTACATGTCTAAAATATTTTGAAAGGGAAATTTTTCCAGATGTAGAATGCTTCTCTGTACTATCACATTTTCCAGGTAGGACTTCCAGTAGTGGGGAGACATAATAAAGTCATAAGGTGAAAAAAATAACATTAAAATTATTTTACAATCAAGGCAAAAGATAAGAGGAAATGCTGTCCTTGGTGTTGTTTAACATGCTATGGGTTACCAAGGAAGGCTGGGAAATCTCTTCTGGAGATCTCAGAAAATGAGAAAGATTCTTAAAGTGAGAGTCATAAAAACTTAGGGTTGGCAAAGACCTTAAAGGTCACTTAGCTCAACCACCCATCTGGTGCTTGAATCACCTCGAGATTATCCTTGCCAAGTGGTCATTGTTAAACTATTTTATGATTTTTCTGAAGAAGGTTACAGAATCTTCTCCAGAGGTCTTAAAGAGAAAAGAAAAATAGATTCACTTGAGACTTGGGAATTCTGCCATTGTAATCAGTTGATCTAGATGGTTTCTGGTTCTGTCATGCAACATATTTACTTTCCACTTTCTTGTCATCTACAAATTTGATATGCCTGCCTTCTGTGTTTCATCATGTTTCTGAGCAAACTATCAGGGCCAAGAGTAGAACCCTGTGACATGACATATAGAAACTATGTTGTAGGTCTATATCTTCATGAGTCACCATTCTTGGTATTATTCAAACGATTACTGAGCCACCCAGTTATACTGTGATTCAGCCCATATTTTCCATTTGCTCTTAATGCCAGTTGTAGCTGTAGATCTTTAATTCATAATAAATCTACTACAAAAAACGATGTTAGAACAACTTATTTATTCTTAGGGAATTTAAGCTGGCTTCGAGTAGTTACTGCTTTCTTTTTAATGTGCTTGGAGACCATCTCTTTAATAATGAGAATATTGTTCCAAATTACTTCTCTGTAGTTTGGGAAGTAAGCCTTCTTCCCCTTTTTGAAAAGCTATACTACATTTGTCATCTCATCTTCGAGTGCCTCTCCATTCTTTGTGATTTCTATCCTATGGAGCTATCCATAGGGAGCAATTCCATGGCCTGCCTGCAAGGTCTGTTGGTTTCCTGGGATTCATCCATCCCAATACAGAAGTTTGTTCAGATGGATCAGTTATTTGCTATCTTACATCTTTTTACTCATTTTAGAGTTTAATTTCTTTCCCCCTTTTCAGTCTGAAAAACATTCTCCTTGATAGAGAAGCCAGGTGCAAGATGGGAGGGAGAGAGTGTCTGCTTTCTCTTTGGTATCTACTGCTGTTAAGCATGAACTTTCTCTGTGTTGCTGGTGGTGTTTGTCTTTTTCTGTTGCTTTTTGTTGTGGTTTTGGAGAAGTGGGGATGGAGATGGGGCCTTAAATCTAATTTTAAAGTAGGGAATAGATAATTGTATTAGTTATTTTAAAACTGTTTTTATGGTTTTTTTTTTTTGTGTGTGTGTGTTAGTGGTTTGTTCATTTGTGTTTTTTGTCTTTTTATTTGGTGGGGGCAAAGCCTCAGATAATTTGGAGTTTTAGCACTCCTGATTTTATTCTTATGAATTCACTCCACTCTCTTGCAACCCTTCATTACATGCCCTCTTTCCATCTTTTTTTTTTACATGTCCTTTAAAAACTCTGACCTGGGAGACATCTCTGTGAAGCTGTGTTTTGGTTACTTATTTGCCACCCCTTTCTTCCCGAGAGTCATTAGTGATTGTAGTTATATAGTTTTACATTTGGAAGCTGCTTAATCCTCTTAAACCATTTTTCCTTCTGAGTCTCATGCCATTAAGTCATGCCTCTTTTCTTTGAATTTTTTGAAGTCTACCTCCCCCTCTTTGATTACCCTGAACTCCAAAATGACGTAGTAACTCTCTCTGAATGTTCCTATGGATTTCCATTTCACCAACTATTTTTTTCTTCTTGGTCAGAATTAGGTCCAGAGTTGAAGTTCCCCTAATTGCTTCCTCTACCATCTGGGAGATAAAATTGTTACCAAAGTAAGTCAAGAACCTGTCGGGTGCCCTACTTCTAACCAAATGAGACTTCTAGCAGACATCTGGATGGTTGACACCCCCATCACCACACTTTCTTGCTTCTGTTTGTGTATTGTGTTGTGACCAGGACGCATCATCTACCTCTTCCATTGAGCTGAGCAGTCTGTTCTGTACTCCCCAACCATTAGCACTTTATTGCTCTCTCCTTTTTCCTTCACTCACAAGCTCTTAGCATGTTTCTACCCCAAACTCATGAGTTTCCACATAGATGTATGTTTCTTGGCCAGTAGTTCTACTCTGCCTCTCCTCCTAAGAATACTGTTTGAAATATAAATATGAGAAGCAATCAAGCTAGCCCCAACCATTCTTGAGTTCCCATCCCACCCACTGCAGCCTTAGACCTAATTCCTCCGATGCTCTATCTACCACTCAGTATTATAAGCTCAATTTTCACTTCATTACCCTTGACCCATATTTACATGTCGGCATCTGAAGCCTTAAGTATATCCTCTGATGCCTGCCCCAGTTGTTTTCTCCAGTGAATCACTGGACAGTTTCAGCATCATTCCTGTTCTTTCTCAGTCATATATGCTGCCCTCCATAGTAACTGGTTATCCAGCTTTTTTTTTTTTTTAATCCCCTTGGGCGTTTTTTTCCGCCTACCTCACCACATTCAGTTTAAAACCAACTTAATAGTTCCTGCCTGAAAGTAGAGGGGTTGACTAAGGAACTTATCTGACCTATCCTTAAGACTGAGATTAACTAGTGACCCCAAACCTTACATTAGCTGTTAAGTTCATGCTCCTTTTCCTAGTTGGCTGTGGCAGTTAATTAATAGTAAAAATAACATTTGGTCTTACTTTATGTTTATTTTGTCTCTTGGGGTCTGATGGAGATATGCAGGAAAATGGCTGCAAAGAGGCAGTGGGGAAGAAAGGGGAGACTGTGTGGTGCAGATCAGGACCTGAGTGGTCTGCTCTGGCCTCACCATTTCCTTACTACATTCCCTTCCTTGGAAATGGGTTGTTCCTTGTATGATTGGAAGGTTTAAATATCCAAGAGTCCCACTTGTTCATGAGTTAATTGCATATCCTTTCTGGCTTCCTACCTTAGAGGTTTGTTGAAAGGATTATATGAGATGATACATGTTAAGCACCTGGTACAGTGCTTAATATATACCAAGCAACAAATGGCAGCTAGTAGTCAAAGGCATGAGATTTAACTCTTTTTAGCTACTGTGGCTGAGTCAGATTTCAAGCTCTTTAGAAACAATACACTATATGTAGGTTTTTCTAGTAGTTTCTGAAGAAAAAAAAATCAGTGCTATTATGAGACATTGAAGCACTATTTTCATAAATGAGTAAGTTGATTTAAGGAATTTCTCACTCTGATGAAATTCTTGAATTGAAGAGGATTTACATTTAATAAACAAAAGTAAACTTTAATGAAATACCTCTAACTTTTAGTGTCAGAAGGAGATACTTAGTAATAACTCTTATCCTCACCATTAGTAGCTGACATTTGTTGAGCACAAACCACATGCTGGCTACTGTACTGATGAGCACTTCACATGAATCCCCTTATTTAACCTTCACAATGAACCAACAGATTCCACATCACCCTTCATCAGGGAGGCAGAGTAATAACTTGCCCAAAGTGACGCACTAATAAGGGGCAGCGTCCGTATATGAGCCCCATGCTCCTAACACTAAGCATCCTTCCTCTCAAGCTAAAATATAGACGTTTCCTTCGTGCCATTATTTTGTGTCAACAGCTACAAACAGGTGCATGACCCAGTTGGCCACTCTGCATGTTTTGGCGTAACTCCTTGCCCTTCTGCATGAACTCCTCCAGTCTGTGACCATGTCCTTGGATTTGTAATTGATGGTGGTTATTATCTAAATGGACAGGTGTGCAACTGCTTATATTCTCTTGGCTGAAGAGGAAGCAACAACCATTGCTGAAGCAGAAAAACTGTTTAAGCAGGCCCTGAAGGCTGGAGATGGCTGTTACCGGCGTTCTCAGCAGCTACAGCATCATGGATCCCAGTATGAAGCCCAACATAGTAAGGTTTCCTTCAGGCTGATGCATTGGGGTATCAGAATTGCAAATGTTTAATCAGAGCAAAATTTCATTGCAGTTCAAAATTTGATTCTTCTAGATGAGGACAAATTCTGGATTTTGCTTTTCTTGTTTTTTTTTTTTTTTCTTCTTCTTATAAGCTTCATTACTCTTTACATTCACATTCAATGTCTTGGCTGTAGACTCCCAATGCAAGAAATAGATGTCAGTAAACTTTAACAGTATTCTTATTTCGCTCTAGAATTCTTACATATTTCTGCTTGTCAGTTGCTTCTCTCTTACCTTTAAGTTTGGAAACAAAACTTAAGTCAGTGTTATCAAAGTTTTTATATTATAGGTCTTCTATAGTATGGGATGATATAGGCCCATTAAGAATACAACAGTTATTGGTAATTATATCAGCATTTAAATTTTATTTAAGAAAATTTGAGATGGTTTGTAGACAGAAAGACCCATGAGTTCCTAATTGTTAACTGTTTTTACATTAAAAACAACACATTCTTTTATTTAAGATAGCTCTTTAAAATCTGAATCCTTTCATTTTAGTACACTAAACTGAGAGCCAGTGTTATTTTGGAAGAACAGTATAGAAATAAGAAAATTATTTCTGAAATTCCCTAAGCACCTGTCTCATCTTTCTTGGTTATTTAAAAAGAAATTCAGTGATTCTTGTGGGAGAAAAGTTTGTATGGTTTTACCAAAATTTACACTATTTCTTTAAGGTGGAATTTCTCACATCATTTCTCTCTCCTTCAATTTGGAGAATAGAAGTGTACCTCCTTTCTACTTGAGATTATACAATTAAATGTTAATATTGAACTTGGATTTATTGTAGGTGCTGACTGTATTAGTCTCTATGACTAAGGTGCCAGTAAGATCCTTGCATTACAGTCTGCACATACATAAAATCCACCAATACACAGGTTTTAATTTTTTATTCTGCAGTGAGTGTATATGTTAATGAGGTCTCTAATTAACATCTACATCTGACTTTTTAAAAAAAGTATAACTCATTGCATTTTTGAAGACATGTAATAAATGTCTATTTGATGAACTAAATGGAAATTAATATGTAAAATTACATAAACTGTGATACAACTTAAGAAATTTTCTTTCTTTTTTTTCCTCTAAATTAAATCCTTTCAACCTGTTGCCTAAATCTATCCAAAAAATATAATCACATCTTTAAAATAATTTGTAGGTCCTTGGCAGTTTTTCAGCACACATCTTGATCTCATTGTTTAAAATTTGAAATGTTCAGACTTGGTCTTAACATCTTTTAATAGCTGCATATTATACATGTACTTAATCTATAGCAGGTGTGTCATATTTTTCTCAAACACGGTAATTTTATTGAGGATTAAGCATATGCATGTTCTCACTAGTCTGGAAACATATCCAAAAAGACATATAATTAAATAAAAGATTAGGACAAGAAGTTGTTAATGTACTTTTTAAGGGCCATTTTAGTGACTATTGTTATAACTATTTAACTTGTCAATGCTTTCTCCAACACTAGGGTAGTTTTTCATTTTGGTGCATACTCTATTGTCATATCTGGAATGTGTTATATTGTCATCTAAAATCGACTGCTTTGGGGACCTGGAGATGATTATGATGTCACTAGTGTTAGAGAAAGAATAATATGAAACAGAAGTTCAACATGAGGCTTCTCCAGACTAAATGTCAAGAATAAAAAAAAATAGTTCATCAAGATGCAACCTGGGATTCACCTTTTTTGCATTTTTTACAAAAGCATGTACACTGGAAGTATGTAGAACTCTTGCTTGTAAACCGAATGCAATGTGGGTATGTTAATTTTCTCAGCACTATGTGACGGAAGATTTTATTTATTATCAAATATTCAGCATCAAAACTCAAAAGCGTGGATTTTGGTAACAAGTAAGATGATTTGGCCTTTGAGAGTCTGAGTTCTTTGACTTTAGTCTGTCTCCATCCTGACGTGAACAAAGTTGTCATTGCTCCTGGCACTAAGGAAAAGCCACAGGCACAGTCTCTTCTCACTGAGGTGTTTTTTTTTAAGGGCAAAGTAAATGAGTCTGCATTTTTTTCTTGCTGCTGAACTGAAACTCTTGTTTTAAAATTTTTGGTGTTTTATATCTCCCTATTCAGGACGAGACACCAACGTTTTGGTCTACATCAAAAGAAGGCTAGCGATGTGTGCCAGAAGGCTCGGGAGGACCAGGGAAGCAGTGAAAATGATGCGAGATGTGAGTTTGAATTTGTGTTTGGGGTCAGTGGCCGTGTGTGTGGCTGGGAGCTGTGGGAGCCAACTGAATGGACCCAGCAGAGGCAGCCAGTTATGGTGTGAGGGTCCCTGTGTGCCTGTACCAGCTCCCAACTGACTGGATGAATGACCTTAGACAAGTCACTCCAGTTCTTTGCCATTATTCCTCATCTATAACATAACAATAACAGTCTTCAAAAGAACTTAAAATTACTCTGAGAATCAAATGAAATAATTCATGCAAAGCTTTTAATGTAGTGACTGTCACATTAAAAAATTAATAGATGTCCTTATTAAAAAACTTTGGGACTCTAGCTGGCAAGCAGTAAGAGATCAGCCATTTTAATTAACTAACTCTTTTTGTGTGTAGTGGTGAGGAAGATTTGAAAATAGCTCAAATTGTTAAGTTCAGAGTGTGTTCTTATGTAGTCATTTCAAGCATTTTCCTATATTCTTGAGAATAAGGGCACTTTATTACTTGTAGTCAACATAAGAATCAAGAAAAATGAAAGTAGGTGGGGCTGGGGATGTGGCTCAAGCGGTAGTGCGCTCGCCTGGCATGCGTGCGGCCCGGGTTCGATCCTCAGCACCACATACCAACAAAAATGAAAGTAGGTAAAAGTTTGAGAACAAAAGAGAATCCAGGGAGGTTATTATTATGAAAACAAAACTAGTTTTAAGGGAAAGAAGTTAAAGAACTTTACTTCCATTTTGTTGTTGTTAGAAAGAAAAACTTTCCTCAAAGAAACTGACACTGGTATTTCTAAGCCATTTCCCTTTTAAAAAAAACAATCTCAGAAAGCCTAGATCAACATGTCATCCTTCTACTGTGTTCCTGAATTAGAAGACTTAGATCCTCTAATTCTGTCCATGGGGTGAGATCAAAGTGGCATCTTGCACATATGACTGTGCAAATCAGTGAGCCTTTTCTCAGCTTGTCTCTGGAAGGGCAGTGTCTCATGGGAATTTTTAGATACTCTTTGGAGGAGGAAACTTGTGCTCAAGGCCCTCCCTAGTTATTTCTTCAAGTTACAGCACAATATGAAGGCCCAGGTGAGAACCATGCTTGGGTCTGCCCACTCCGTTAAGCAGCAGTGTAACCCCCAAATCTGAGGAAAGCATCAAGAGGAGGAAGATTATGAAGATGATATATGCTCACTCAGAATTAAATTCTTTTCATTGAAGAAAGAATTTAAAGAATGTTATATAGCATATGAGCTAATTTTAAGAAAAAGATTTCTGCAAATATGAACTTGCTCTCAAAGTGAAATCCCTTGATATATCCATCCCTTGATATAACTAAGAAACGGTACAGCCACTTTGGCTCTGCAGGAGCTGGGAACTTTATGATGAACAAGATGTTTCTCTCAATCTTGTACAATCACAGCCCACCTTTCTTATTACCTCTTTTTAACCTTATTAACTTAGAATAGCAGGCATACATGGAGGATCAAATATTTGTGATTTTATTTGTTTTATCCTTAAATAAGCTCAGAGAAAAACCGAGTTCTGATTACTTTAATTTCAGTTATTTCTATCAGTCTCATTCTGCTTATCATTTTCAGTATATGCATATAAAATTTCAGGATTAAAATCAATATATCTATCTACCATGTATCTTCTGTTTTGTTTTTTATTTAACATAACTTTATAATTCTGTTTATTGACCTAGTCCAAATATGGGTTTTGGGAGAAAGTCTGGGATGCAGTGAAAGAAACACTGGGCAGAGAGTCAAAAAACCTGGATATGAATCTCAGCTTTGCTTTTTACTGGCTTTGTGTCTCAGGGCAATTTAGGTGCCTTTTATGGCCTTTTTATTTGGTCTTCCATAAATTGGAGATGATGATTCTTATCTAAAAGAGCAATTGATAGGGAGAATTGAATAAGATAATGTGAAAACACCTGGCATATAATAGGCATACTTAAAATATTTTCCCTCTATTTTTTAAGCTGTTCTATAATTTACTTGCCTGTTTGCCTGATGGACATCTTGGGATAATTCTAATATCTTTCTTCTTTTAATTAAAAAAAACATTTTAAATGTATTTTTAAGTGTCCCCCTCTCTGTTTAAACAACAAGCACGTGGCTTAGGGACTGTGCCTGCCTTAGGTTGTCCAATACTACATATGGTCCTTACCCGTCATCGGATGAGCTGACCTCAAGGCGTCAGCCTCCTGTCTTAGGTTGGTACCACTGCAATTGGATCTTATCCGTCATTGACTACTGGTACAGCATACAGCCACACCTGTGGACAGGCCTTTGTACCAGTGGGGGGGTGAGGTTTTTTGCCTCACCTCTGTTGGCCCCCAAATTTTAGCTGAACGACCATCACAAGCAGAAGGGAGGAGGATACACCAAGCCAATTGACGGCTCCTTTTGGAAAAATTGTACCACTGATGACACCATCAGCAAAAATACCCCAGCACTACCACAAGTCGCTGCACCAACAGATAGTTCACAATGCATACAAGTGATACATAGTCCAGGCAAGTTCTGCAATCAGTTCAGTGATAGCTATTGCAGAATCTGTAGATTTGTTTTATCTTTGACTTCACTGGCACTGGGATGAAGATAGGAATTCTGGCAATAATGGCTAAAGAAAAAATTATGTAACATTCCAGCAGGCACTAAAAGAAAACAATTTTCTGAACAATTTACATTATCCTGAACAGAATTATTAAATATAATGAAAAGGAAAGGTGAAAGTAAACAAACAGATCTGTTAACCTCCTTTTTTGTTCACATATTAAAACAATCCTCAACACCTGTTTATCCAATTTAAATTAAACCATTTAAATCACGTGAATAAGAAAAAAAAATTGAATCCATTTTTTCATGAGCCTCATCATATATGATATATGGACATACGCACATACAAACATACAGCACAAAACACAAGTGTGTACAAATAATATAATACATACAACACATAACATAATAATAAAGGCCTTGTAACTTTTTACAGGTGAAATCTCCATTGCAATGTTTAAAAATTCCATAGTTAAAAAATAGAATTGATCAGCAAAACATTAACCTAGGTCTGTATGAGCTCAAAACACAAAATAGAACTTTATGATGTGGGAAAGGGCAATAATAACATAGATATTGAAAAAAGCATCCTGGTTTCATTAGCCTCCAGATGTGGAAGAACCACTGTCGCAGATGTAAGGATAGCCAAACTGGAGTTCTGGATATCAGCTGTTACGGATTTGAGCCAAATCATCTTCTTTTTGGTCTGTAGAAATCGCTTTAGTTAATCTCTCTGGAATCCAAATCGGCTGCTGTTCTCCTTGTGGAAACACACAAACAGACCGCCGACTCCAGACAATCACTGGGTCAGGACCTTTCCATTGTCCTGTTAGAATATCCTTCCAAAGTACCTTGGGCTTATGTACATTTTTTGGACACATATGCCTTTCCGCAGCACTAAGCCCTGATGAATCCAAATTTAAAAAGTTTAGAGTAAAAAGGGTTATTTTAAGTTTATCATTGGGGGATATATACCCCTTTCCAATTCCCTCTTTTTGCTTTAATAAGTACATTTTAATAGTTTGATGAGCTCTTTCAACTATGCCTTGTCCCTATGGATTGTATGGGATTCCTGTTATATGAGTAATGCCATATGATGAGCAAAATTGTTTAAAAGCGGGTTTGATCCCCATACGGGCCACCAAATGCCACAGTCTGGCTGGGCACAATTCACGAGCCACTTATCAAGCAGAAACAAACTTTATTTTTAGAACACACATGCTGCACCACACGAGCTCTTCAGGAATTCCCTCAGAGCCCAACTGCCACCACCGGCTTCCGGCGAGCCTCTCAACCCCCACTCCTCCTGCTTTTGAGGCCGATTGGCTGGGTCGCGTGGGCAGAGCCAAAAGAGTCCCCCAATGAGCAGCTCCGTGGTCTGAAGGGGTGGGGAAACAGCCCAATGAGCATCACAGCAGAGGAGCCAATCAGCTGGCAGCTGGAAGTTTGCTGGGGCCGCTGTGAGTCAATCAGCTGGAAGTTTGCTAGGGCCCCTTCGGCTGTGGCTCTCAACATAAGTGTACATATTTATGAGGTACACTGTGATATTTCAGTACATGTATACAATGTGCAATGATTAGACCAGGGTAAGTGGCAATGCTGTTCACCTCAAACTGACTTGTTTTTCTTGAATGAATCAGTCATTCAATGAAGTAACCTCTAGCTTTTTCTATCTCTGTGTTCATGCAAATGCATGCATATTTTATGCTTGTTTGTGTCTATATTGATTCGTGTTCTTCTTTTATTTCATTTATAAAACATCCTGACATATTTCTAAAATACCAATACATGTTTCCTTTTCTCTTTGGAGTATCCAGTAGATATGGCCCCTGCTGTTGTGACAGTCTAGTGAGAGACACTGTCAGACATGATGATATGTTTTGAAGAAAACTATTCAAAGTATTTTTTCCTTCTGCCACTCCTTCTGTCAACCCTCGCACCCCAAACAGAAGCAGAGAGTGGTCTCCCTGTAGAAGCTGCAGCTGTGTGAGCCTCATAGGAGACAGTTGCAAGTCAGGCCTGACATTCTGACTCTGCTCAGGTTGCGGGCCATGCTTCACAGAGGGTTCACTCCTGTAACAAGATGCACATGAAACATCGTGCTGTAAAACTTCCTCTGATAAAATAGCACAATGGATTACAGGCAGCCTGCTGATAAAGTGTTCAGCACAGGATCTAATTTTTCATTAAGACACAGTCATACTCAGGATGGGGTTGTAGCTCAGTGGTAGAGCACTTGCGTTGCACTTATGAGGCCCTGGGTTCAACCCTCAGCACCACATACACAAACAAACAAATAAATAAATAAAAGATATTGTGTCCATCTAAAACTAAAAAATTATTTTAAAAAAATGACACAACCATCCTCTCTCCATGTACATGGACTTAAAATTTCCTAGAGCAGATTTTAAAGTGGAAATGGAAATTCGAGAGTCAGATGCCTTCCATGTAG